CATGGGGAATGGCTAAAAGATACTCTGAACTTGCGCCCGACCAGAATCGGCTTACGCTCGTCAGCATTTCAAAACGAAGTTTCGCAGCGCGACCGCAACACGTTGAGCCATTCCCAGTGCGACTAGAAGATTTATAGTCGTCATGAACGGAGTTTATCAAAGAATCTTATCGGGCCCTTGGTCGCATGGGGAATGGCTCAAAGGATGTTTTTAACTTGCGCCCGACCAGAATCGGCTTTCGCACTTTGACATCTAAAGACAAGCCTTGAAACTTAAAACGCAGCGCGACCGCAACGCGTTGAGTTCCCTTGGTCGGCTTACGCTCGTCAACATCTCAAAATGAAGCTTCGAAGTGCGACCGCAACGCGTTGAGCCATTCCCAGTGCGACCAGAAGATTCATAGTCGTCATGAACGGAGTTTATCAAAGAATCTTATCGGGCCCTTGGTCGCGTGGGGAATGGCTAAAAGATACTTTGAACATGCGCCCGACCAGTATCGGCTTTCGCTCTTTGGCATCTCAAAACGAAGCTTCGCAGCGGGACCGCAACGCGTTGAGCCATTCCCAATGCGACCAGAAGACTTATAGTCGTTATGAACGGAGTTTATTAAAGAATCTTATCGGGCCCTTGGTCGCATGGGGAATGGCTCAAAGGATGTTTTTAACTTGCGCCCGACCAGAATCGGCTCACGCTTGCCAGCATCTCGAAACGAAGCTTCGCAGCGCGACCGCAACGCGTTGAGCCATTCCCAATGCGGTCGGAAATCCAGGGGAAAAGCTGAAAAAACTTGTTAGGCTCGACGACGAAATATTCGCTGGCGATGATCGATTCTCCGTTTTTGTACCAGGAAACTTTGGCCGGCGGCTGTCCGGAAGCCAGGCATTCCAACTGAATAACTTCCCTTTTTCTGTACTTTCCATCGAAAAAACCTCAACATCCGCCGTTTCTAGGGCAATTTTCGACTGTGGTCTCGTGGTCTGTTCTCTTATACACATCTCCGAGCCCACGAGACCTCTCTACATCTCGTATGCCGTCTTCTGCTTGAA